CGAGCACACCAACCACCCTCTCGTTTGAACATTTCCTCCACCCGTGGACAGTCTTATGCATCTTGATTTGTTCTGGACACATCGTGTACATGTTCTTGAGGATTGTTCTCATATCGTATCTTTCTGTATCCTTGTGTGGCATGCTATGTCTGTTCCGCCGTGTGCTATAGGCCGTTGCTTGCCATACTTATTTGTTTGTTTGTTTGGATTTGATAGATAATACTGGATTTGTTTTCTCAGCATTATCTCGAAGGGGCGTGATGTATATGGATTCCCCCATGCCATATTTGACCTGTAGTTCATGTACTCCCGTACTAGATTTGTACCACAGTTGTATGACCTCGCACCATAACGGCATGCTTGCTTGGCTTGGGAGATACTTCCGTGCTTCATGTGTTTTGCCTCTTCAGTTGTGTTTTCCTTCTCTTCAGATTTGTTTTATAATAAATGTCTTCTTGCTAACTGTAGACATATCAACTACTGGGCAGTTGGCATAAGTTTCACTGTGATGGAATTTATAGTGCCAAGCGTGACGTCTGATGGGCCATCACGCCCTTCCGTACCACGCAGGCACGCCGCATTTTAGATCTAACAACAAGAATAATAGAATGTTCTGAGGCATGTAGCTTTGACACAGCACCAGACTCTAGCAATTATCAGGCTCAAATCGTGTGTTGCACTACGCAAGTTTGTCATTCCTCCGGCACAGGCGGACACAGCTCATCCTTGTAAGGGTCTGCCACAAACGGCCGGATATCCTTGAACAGGTACTTCTGGCGTTCTTGTGACAGACCTGCTGGGGGCAACACTTGGGGAAGGCCTGCTGCTCTCACCTGCTCAGGTGTGGTCTTCAACAGCTGAACATGGTCAGTCAGCTGATGCATGCAGTCGTCTTCTGCTCCTCACTCCCAGCCGCCATCACGTTGCGCCGCAAGTCCTCGCACACCGGGCAAACATCCATGCGAGCCGTCATGAACTTAATATGCGGCAATGTCTGGTGCCAGATGGAGCGGAACGTCGACAAGGATACAGACTTCTTACCCTCCTTATGGCAGCAGTCGCAGAAGTCTGCATGCACGGACTTGTACGTTTGTGACGCTGGAAGGAAGATAGGTGGCGTGTCGTCTCTGCCACGGAGTGGCGCAGGATGTGGAATTCCAAACACTTCCGCGTGCCGAGTGATGTACTCCACGCAGTACTTCACAACAGTAAACTCCAGGACATTGTGTGGCCGTTTGCCTGTGTTGCCGTGCATTAGTGGCACAAGCCCATTCTTCTCCAGGTGGCTTCTGTACCGTTTCAGCCTCTTGCTAGACAGTGCGTACACGTGACGGAACGCACCCACACAAACAGTCAGTCCTTGGAATTTGCAGGTAAAACGCTCCCTCTTGCGCTTCTCTCCACTCTCAAAAACTGTTTCAGGATTACTCAAAGCTTCAGGAAGGCCCAGGACCACCAGCTCACTCTCGTGCGACTCCATTTCTCTCATGTTCAGGATCGACGTCTCGATGTCAGCTGGGTCAAATTGCTGCAAGCAATTTTTTGAACATCCGCAGTTCTCTTTTTGACGGACAGTGTCGTCCTCCTCTGCCGGCGCAACGGTCGCTTCACAAGCTGCTGCGGAGCTAGCCTGCGGAGGTTTGGGCTCTGCCTTTCCGACATACAGCTCTGCTGCTGCGTCGACATCCACTCGCTGCTGAAGAAAGTGTCGCCGTCGTCAGGTTGAACCGAACGTCACTGGCGTCCGACTCGTCTTCCTCACCAAAAACTTCAGCCTCATCTCTTCCAGGAGAGATTTCAGCGCTTCGTTCACGGTGAAACACTTACGATGGCTCATAGTGAACAGCTACGCCGCCCCAAGGACTTAGCAGAAAGCGAAGACGGCAAGACAACTGCGCTGAAACTGTGAAAGCAACTCTTTGTCTTTCCGCTCGCGCGTGCGATTTTATTCAGCGGAGGTGTCGACGTGTCACCTAGTACCTGGTCACGGTCGATCGATTTTGATCGCCGATCGGTGGTACATGGGTCGATTTAGCCAGGGTTTTCTTCTACAGGAGCTGTAGGATACTGGCTCTCCAATACAAAGAATGACTGAGCTCCAAAGAAGTCGCGTATCGCCAAAAAACGAACAGTTTCATGTTCGATCCGAACGTGACAGCTGAGAATCAGCTGATTCACTTCAAGTGCGGTATTCTCAAAATCACGTGCAGCAGGATAAGGTCCCTTTTCGCTTGCGCCGGCTCATATACCGTTGCAGTTAGGGTTTGTGTGTGGTGTGACTATATACCGTTGCAGTTAGGGTTGGTGTGTGGTCTGACTATATACCATTGCAGTTAGGGTTGGTGTGTGGTCTATATACCGTTGCAGTTAGGGTTGGTGTGTGGTCTGACGATAGACCGTTGCAGTTAGGGTTGGTGTGTGTTCTGACTATATACCGTTGCAGTTAGGGTTGGTGTGTGGTCTGACTATATACCATTGCAGTTAGGGTTGGTGTGTGGTCTATATACCGTTGCAGTTAGGGTTGGTGTGTGGTCTGACGATAGACCGTTGCAGTTAGGGTTGGTGTGTGTTCTGACTATATACCGTTGCAGTTAGGGTTTGTGAGGCGTCTGACCATATACCTTGGCAGTTAGGGTTTGTGTGTGGTGTGACTATATACCGTTGCAGTTAGTGTTGGTGTGTGGTCTGACTATATACCGTTGCAGTTAGGGTTGGTGTGTGGTCTGACTATATTCCGTTGCAGTTAGGGTTGGTGTGTGGTCTGGCCATATACCGTTGCAGTTAGGGTTGATGTGTGGTCTGACTATATTCCGTTGCAGTTAGGGGTGGTGTGTGGTCTGACTATATTCCGTTGCAGTTAGGGTTGATGTGTGGTCTGACTATATTCCGTTGCAGTTAGGGTTGGTGTGTGGTCTGACTATATACCGTTGCAGTCAGGGTTGATGTGTGGTCTGACTATATTCCGTTGCAGTTAGGGTTGATGTGTGGTCTGACTATATTCCGTTGCAGTTAGGGTTGGTGTGTGGTCTGGCCATATACCGTTGCAGTTAGGGTTGGTGTGTGGTCTGACTATATTCCGTTGCAGTTAGGGTTGATGTGTGGCCTTACTATATTCCGTTGCAGTTAGGGTTGGTGTGTGGTCTGACTATATACCGTTGCAGTTAGGGTTGGCGTGTGGTCTGACTATATACCATTACAGTTAGGGTTGGCGTGTGGTCTGACTATATACCATTACAGTTAGGGTTGGTGTGTCATTGTGCATTGTAGTGTCAGTGTGCAACAATCATCATTATATCTAATCGTCTGTTTGTGGACATGTCTCTTGTACTCAATGTGCCGTAGTGTCAATGTCAGTGTCAGTATGTGAACATTAGTCTGTCTTTGCATCAGTGTTTGCCATAGAGCCAGAGTGTTGTAGCAATAATTGGCGTAGTGTTAGTTTGTTCCCCGTCTCCCCTTACAGTCAGGCTGAACCATGGTCAAGGCCGTCACAACCGGGGCGGCTGGCTGCCGCCCCACTTTTTCGGTGTTTCCTTTTTTTAGCACAGTGCAACAAAACGCAATGATTGCAGCTCAGCGCAAATTGGGCGAATAATGAAGAATCCTTGTCCCCGAAAGTGGTTCGTTGCAGAATCTAAAAGTCTTTCATTGCAGTTAAACTGAAATGGCACCAAATGCCTGGAAATGCCTGCAGTTGGCTTCAATTTTTGAATTTTTCCCGTGGGAGGGTAATAAAGAATCCTTGTCCCCGATCGTAGCTTCTTCTTGGTTTGTTGCAGAATTAAAAAGTCTTTCATTTTAGTTACACTGAAATGGCACCAAATACCTGGAAAAGCTTGCAATTGGCTTCAATTTTTGAAATATTTCCCGGCGGACGGTCCCCGCACCCCTCCATAGCCACCCCACCCCCAAAGTCGGTGCGACGGGGCTGATGGTTATATGCAATAGCAGTAGGTATATCCTCCAGTGTACAGATAAGTCAGTTGTACTTACTTACCGCGGTGATGGTGTTTGTTTCACCAACCAGCATCGTTATTGGGACTTGTTGTGACTTTGGTTTGTACATTATACTTAGGGGCCATCCGTAAATATCGATAGTTTTTTCAATCCGTGAATTTTACAAAGTAACCAGGACCCACCCCCCTACTTTTTACGGAATAAAATATTGATGACACATGTGGCCTTTTGGATGATCTCCGACCTTGCCTGCGGGTCTGCGGAAAACGTCTCCATCCACTGCTTCTGTGCTTTGGTGAAAAACGCAGATCGATTATTGGACGTTTCAACAGTCTACAAGGCCTCGATGACGGCGTAGTAGCCATCGTCGTCTTCACCACGGCTGTCAAGCTCTTTGAAAAACTTATCTTTTTTGGCAGCTGTACCAAACAAAGTAGTCTGCCGTGCCATTTTCGTTAGGCAGCTGTACCAAACAAAGTAGTCTGCCGTGCCATTTTCGTTAGGCAGCTGTACCAAACAAAGTAGTCTGCCGTGCCATTTTCGTTAGGCCACGCTCCACATGGGAACTGTTCCAACCATTGGCGATGTAGCAATTCTTCGATGTGGAGTTCAAATATAAGCTGGACTTGACCCGGATTAATCGGGTATTGTGATACTTCGAATAATTGTGCAATAATTATACTTGTGAATAATATCTGACAAACTTCCCTCTTTCTTTTGCTTCAAGAGTTTCGATCTCCACTACATTTTTTGGAGACAACAATCTACGTGTACGTGTGGTTCGACGCACGCAGACCCACGCACACGCAGTACTGGGCGCCAGGTCCGCGTGTCATCGATATTTTATTTACTTTGAATTTCGGCTGCACCCACCACCCAGGTACGAAAATTTCACGGATTGTAAAAACTATCGACATTTACGGACGGCCCCTTACATGTTGACATGAAACGATCTTTTTCAGCCAGAATCCAGTCTCAGTCCAAATTGTAGTCTGGATATCTCAGTGTCATTAATTGTGTTTTTTCAATGTCTTTGTGTTCAGGTTTCATGGTGGTAATCCCAGGGCAGTTGCATCACAGAGTACTGCTGGAGGTGGTAATCCCAGGGCAGTTGCATCACAGAGTACTGCTCGAGGCGCATGCTGGTATTATGTCACGTAACGTCTGTCCGCTGGATTGCACATTGCTGAGCATGCATTGGACTGGAGATGTCTGTCAACTGGATTGCACATTGCTGAGCATGCATTGGACTGGAGATGTCTGTCAACTGGATTGCACATTGCTGAGCATGCATTGGACTGGTTACCTATCAACCAGGTATGTCACTTGATGTTTGTGTGTATTTACAATAATTGTATGGTGTGTACTCACTGCAAAGACCAAGCCAAGGAAGTTATGCTACCACAGGTTACTCGCATTGTGTATGTGTGCGTGTGCGCATGCGTGTGTGCATGCGTGTGCGCATGTGTGCGTGTGTGTGCATGTGTGTGTGTGTGTGTGTGCGCATGTGTGTGTGTGCGCATGTGTGTGCACGCATGTGTGTGCACGCATGTGTGTGCGCGCGTGTGTGTGCGCGCATGTGTGTGCGTGCGCATGTGAGTGTGTGTGTTGTGTGTGTGTTGTGTGTGGCGTGTTGTGTGTGTGTGTGTGTGTGTGTGTGTGTGTGTGTGTGTGTGTGTGTGTGTGTGTGTGTGTGTGTAGCCTTCCAATCTGTTGGAACAATACCTTTTGCCATATATTTTCGTGTGCTGTTGGCTCTGGTTTCCCAGTACTCCACGGCCGATTGTGGCTGGAAAAGTAACTCCAATTTCACTTCATGCCACCAGTGTATCTAGAGTCTGCTTCTATTAGAGCAGTGTGCTGTTTATATTGCCCCTCCCCCCCCCCCCCCACCAGGAAGTGTAGTGTGTGCATAGGTAACTGTCTCGTCCTATTCCGATGTGCTCCGTGTGGTGTAGACCAGGTGTGCATTGGTGGGTCGAATCTCATGGCTTCCCCAGTTGTGTTGATTAGGCAGTTATCTGGCGCTAGTCTTGATCAGTTTCAATCAGATTTGTCTGCTACTGCTGCTATAAGAAATCTGAGGGTCACATCCAGTGCATTTGCAGTTTCGTGTGCTTCTCTTGGGACGGGAGTATGCATGGTATATGGTACATGATACATGGCGTGTGTCTGTGTGCATGTGTGTGAGTCTGTGTGTTATTGTTTGTGTGTACATGTATGTGTCTTTGTGTGTGTGTTAATGTGTACATGTGTGTTGCTGTGTGTGTGTGTGTCTTTGTGTATATATATGTGTGTGTGTGTCTGTGTGTGTGTGTGTGTGTCTGTGTGTGTGTGTGTGTCTGTGTCTGTGCACCCGGGTGTACGGAGCCCTCATTGGAGCTGGCACAACTTGTTCCAAGTGAGATAGATACCTATAACTACACACGTAGCGTGTAGCAGGCTAGTCCCACATTAGTGGTATTGTCAAATAGGGATAGTCCACCCACAAACCTAAACGGCTGTGTTGTGTTATGTTGTGTTGCGTTCATATAAAGGGAAAATTGCATCGCTGAGAGGATAAAAACGGTCACTATGCAGTGTCCACCGGAATGTTGCAAGCCAAATCGTTCTCGCTTTGATCTAGTTCTGGACCATGTGTTGATAATCCAAATAGGGATATCAAACACTACAGCAGCTTTGTCTTATTATGCTTGTTACCTGCCAGTATTAGCATCATATTGTGTTCTGGCTAGCTGCTTGATACCAGCATGTATAGCATGTATAGCAGCTACATGCAATATCCTGCCTAGCTGCCTGATACCTGTATGTACCTATATACAATATCCTGGCTAGCTGCTTGATACCAGCATGTAGCTACATACAATATTCTGGCTGTAGTTTGATAACAGCAAGTATTATAGCTAGTATGCTGGCGTATTGTGCCAAATGGAATTGAACAAAACATTCGTGCACGGCGTCTGTTCCCCTAGTAGTGTTGTTCTTGTTCTGCACACTACGTTGCAGGCGCCGCCGCATTGTTACGTGTAGAAATTCACATGCAACACTAGTTCATCCTGAAATGCCAGCTTATGATTATCAAAGCCAAGTTAGCCCATGCGGGCACATGCGCCGTGATGGTCTCATGAGGCATGACATTAATTATTATTTTGCGCTGAGTGTCGTCTGTTATTTTCATTTTTGCACTGCTGCTACTGTTGCCTGTATACGCGCTGCAGTGGATAGTTGAGTGCAGTTTGGTGTTTTTTGTCCTGTGAACAAGAAGTGCTTTTCCTTGTCAGGCTTGTATTTTCTCTTCCTCCCTCCCTTTTGCAATACCTTTCTGTAATTATCGTACCCGTTGTTTGCTGTTGCTGGGTACCGTAGTGTATTGGTTGTGCCTGTTTGACGTTGCCAGGCCAACTAGTATTGGATTGTTCCCGTTGAAGTTGCCCGGGCACCATGGTTATGACAGCGCTCCCGTTTGCTATTGCAGGGGCCATGTTTGCAATGTTTGCTCTGCGAAACAACAAAAAGGGTCATGTCACGGTAATACATTAATGGTCTCATTTTACTGAGTCCGTTCTCCTATCATGATATCATGATAGGAGAACGGACTCATTTTACTGAGTCCGTTCTCCTATCATGATAATATTATGATAATCTTTCTCTGCACTTCATTGTATACAGTCATGTATGTAGAATAGTATGTCATCGTGACTTTCGTGGACATGGCCCGTAACTAAACTTTACATCTTGGCTGCATAACACCCGCTACACTAGCATTCCGGCATGCCAAACACTGTGTAGTTGTGTATCTGCAGTGTGTCGTCAAACATTCCTCAAATGTTCTGTTCCACAATCATAGGAACTCATTACAGGTATCCAAATCCTTCCTTCAAATCCTTCAACTACCGGTGCTAGTATACTGTAATTTACTGAAGTACGTTTCCAAACCTTCGTCAATCTATCTAGAGCCTTACGTGAAATTGAAAAAATCAAACTTAGGATTGATTGTTCGGTGCCTTAGTGAGAAACTCGGAGTCCCAACAAAATAACGTTACATTTTGCCCAGTATGTATATCTACATTATACGGTATTTCGCAAAGTGACATAACAATGTACGGTAGTACAATGCTGCTCAATGTAATCCGATGGCGTGAGTCAGGTTCGCGCCTTTTTCAGCCTGGTCTTCACAGGTCTGTTTTTTTTCAGACCTCTTTTACGGGCAAATTAACACAATGGATTAAAATGCAATAAATCATACACTGGAGAAGAAATCAGAAAAATGCATGTGTAAAAATTCACAGGTCTGTGATACAGCGCCCGGAGTACAGACATCAGTACAAGAGAGTAAGGGAGCTGGGTGTTTTTTCTCCAACAGTCCGTCTACCATCATGTTTCGTGACATACTAGCACTGACTGTAGTGTCATTGTACCTGTAGCCTGTACTAGCTATGGACCGTGGACTGGTAGCAGACCGCATCACATCCCATCAGATTGTTTATGTGCGTGTGAACTGCATCAGATCGTAATGCTGAACAGCTCGTAAAATCTACAGTCTTTGTGGCTGTGAAGGGCGATCGCCTGCATGCTGATGCTTTCTGGCCTAGGTGGGTGAGGTGCTGTTCGCACCACAGCACTTCAGTCTTCGGTGTACCATGGTGTACACTGCATTCCCGTACAAACGTAGCTCCAGTTCATCCTATGTCTTCACGGTTCTCACCCCCAAATTTACAATACACGAACACGGACATTGCATGCCGTAATGTTGTGGTGTTAATCCCCTGAAGTCTTGCGCCTTGCGATTCTCTTCAGTGCCGAAATTTGAAGGACAAAACTCGACTGTGCGAATGGTTGAGCTCATTTCTTCGGCATTTCTATTTCTAAGCCATGAGTTACGTTACGTATGTGATTAGTTCCCTCAGAACTTGGGAAGTTGTTTCCGTTCCTGAGGAAACCATCGGTCTACATTCAGGCACGAGTTTTTACGTGTCTCTGAGATCAAGACTTTTTGTAAAGGCTTTGAGATCTGTACTCTGCTGCATGTACTAGCAATCGATTGGAGGAAGTTGTTTCAAGCCATTGATGGAAGCTGTTTGGCGGTGTTGGACATTCTCCTCCTGACATTCCAGTGACCCGTGAAATGACAGACGGCAGAAAGACTTCAGGTAACTTAACATGTTTCCTGCTTTCAACCATGCTAGATACGGGCAATGTTGTACTGTACTGCGCTAACGGACATTGTTATGGTAATCATGCAGTTTAGGGTCCCAAATTATTTCGCACTTTCCCAGTGTTCAGTGTACTGTCACATGCCTTTCCCAGTGTTCAGAGTACTGTCGCACGCTTTTTCAGCGTACTTTTACATGCTTTCCGACCCTTGAACCTTGAACAACCAAGATCAACACTTGAACACAGTCAGTATCATGAACTTTATTTTCATGAAAACCGAGGACAGATCAGACTGGGTACTGCTGGTGAACACTGCGGAGCAGGGAGCCGAACGTGTTGTCTTCCGCGCGAACTCTCTGTCTCCACACGAACCGTCGCAGAGGTACGTCGGAAACAACTCACGTGATGTGCCGAAGTTGTGCTTCAGCTGGCGCTTGGCCCGCATCCACATGTTTTCCACGTTGTTGGTGGTGATCGTTCGGTCGTCCGGATCAACAAAGTTGTCCTCGTGGACGACGACATCGTGAAAAACTTCCATAAAGGAGACAAAACGTTGACAAAGGAAACAAAACTTTGACACGAGAAAAGAAGAAGCATAGTGAAAGTACACTGAAAAAGCGTGTGACCGCACACTGAACACTGGGAAAAAGGCATGTGACAGTACACTGAACACTGGGAAAGTGAGAAATAATTTGGGACCCTAAACTGCATGATTACCCCCAAAAATGTGCAACTCTAGTCTATAGGGTCTGCAAGGGCAGAACCTCAATATAATGTGACAAACCCGTAGGTCTGCACATTACTTCCACCCTGTTCATGATACATACAGCCCTGCTTTGGGTCAGCTCCCTGGTTGGCACTTTTTGTTGTTTCCTGCGTATCCTATTGAAAGATTTCACGAGATATTAGGTGTTCTGCCCGTTAGCAGAATTTGATAGAGGTTGTACGGGAAGTTACACCCTCTGGGGTTACCGGTAGTTACTCTTGCTATTACATGTACTCGATTTCCGAATCAACCGGTATCTTAATTGGTGTGCCGTAGACCGAAAAGAATGAACACAACAATCACTCTCTCTCTCTCTCGCTCTCTCTCTCTCTCTCGCTCTCTCTCTCTCTCTCTCTCTCTCTCTCTCTCTCTCACTCTCTCTCGATCTCTCTCTCTCAATCTCTCTCCTTCATCTCTTCTTCTCCCCCCCCCCATCTCCCGATAATTATTAATTCATTAGCCCCCCGTTTTCTTTCGACGCGTTTGCTGTGCAGTGAAGCCGAGACCCTAGGTCGGCAGAGCACATCAGACCCCGCCACCACGTCCACGATTCATGCCTGCGATGCTTCACCGCTGCTTTGCATGGATTGATTGGAAGCTGTGGCCTTAGTAAAAAAAAACTGTGAAAAGGAGAAGGACAGAATGTTACGAGCTATGACGAACTGTCCACCAACGTAACCAGATCTTCTACAGTCAGCGAGTGCGACAAAATGGCACAAAACTGACAGTAGCAGCAGTAGTAGTAGTAGTAGTAGTAGTAGTAGTAGTAGTAGTAGTGCCAGTGACTTCCGTGATGCACTTGCTCTACGGTATGGTCTGCAGCTCCCTGGGCTACCGTCCACTTGTGTCTGTGGTGATGCCTCCACGATGGACCATTTCCTAACCTGCCCGCCGGCGGGTATCCATCTGCCCGGCACGATAATGTGCGTGACATCCTGGCGGAGACGCTCTCCGAAGCTGTTCGCGATGTCGACACAGAGCCACGTCTCCGGCCGCTGTCTGGCGAGGATCTGCCCTATGCGACGGCTAACCGGACTGATGAGGCTCGGCTGGACATTCGTGCCCGGGGCTTCTGGACAAGGCAGCAAGACGCTTATTTTGATGTTAGGGTAACCCACCCTAAGGCGTCTGTGCTGTCTGGTCCAGAAGTCCTTAACCAACTCAGGGCCCATGAACGGCAAAAGAAGCAGCAGTACGGTGCCAGGGTCACTGAAGTCGAGAGAGGCTCTTTCACCCCTCTTGTGTTCGCAACGAATGGGATGGCGGGGCCGGAGTGCTCACGATTCCTGGCGACACTTGCCGGTCGGCTCGCAGAGCGCAATAAAGACATCCGGTATTCAAGCATTGTCAGTGCATGGCGTGTTCGGCTGGCATTCTGCCTCGTACGGTGGGCAATAACCTGCTTTCGCGGTTGCCGATCATCCTATCAGCGTCGCGTCCGCTCGTCGTTGTTGGTGCAGTGTCGACAGGCTGCCGGCTGAGATTCAGAGTCCATGCGTCAATCTGGACAATATAACAATAGCTCAAAGACCGTAACAATTGACTACTTCTCTTGACATACTAGTGCATTCTCTCTTTCTTTCTCTCTTTCGTTCTTACTCACTCTTTTCCATCACTGGTGTGCTTACCATGGTATTTTTTTGCCCGTAAAAGTGGTTTGGTCAGTAGTAGTAGTAGTAGTAGTAGTAGTAGTAGTAGTAGTAGTAGTAGTAGTAGTATTCTTTTATTTATAGTGGAGATAGTAGTAGTAGTAGTAGTAGTAGTAGTAGTAGTAGTAGTAGTAGTAGTAGTAGTAGTAGTAGTAGTAGTAGTAGTAGTAGTAGTAGTAGTAGTAGTAGTAGTAGTAGTAGTAGTAGTAGTAGTAGTAGTAGTAGTAGTAGTAGTAGTAGTAGTAGTAGTAGTAGTAGTAGTAGTAGTAGTAGTAGTAGTAGTAGTTGGCGAGTGGCGTCGCACACACATCTTCAGCTTGTGGAGCGCGTCGGATCAGCTTTCTAATCAGCTGGCGAGTGGCGTCGCACACACATCTTCAGCTTGTGGAGCGCGTCGGATCAGCTTTCTAATCAGCTTTCTCGCCATGGTTACCGTGTGCATAGTTACCGTGTGCACTGTGCAGTTGTGATCGATCTCTAGCGCTCTGGTAGCATGTCGCAGCCCGCTGGTGGATCGAAGCGATGCTGTGTGTGCAGCAAGTCGACTGGGAGCTGCCGTGGCTGCTCGTGTGCTGTGTCGGCCAGGGCCTGCGAGAGCTGCTACCCTGGTCGCGCGGGTAGGTGCCGCAATTTTGGCAATGCTCAGCTGATTCCGATTGTGCCGGTTGCAGATCCGAATCCAGCATTCCATTCGGATAGATCTCCTGAGAGGCCAGGCTTTTTGGGCAGGCGGCGCCGCTCATCACCTGGCGCTGTCGGAAGGGGCG